CTTCCTTTTGCAAATAAGAAGTTTAACACAGTGCAATCTCTCTAAGATAAGCAATGAAAAGAGAGACACTGAAAAGAAGACAAAAAAAGTCAGAAATACCCAGATTTAATGTGGAGACTACCTAAGCCATAGTTTCTGTTTTAAATGGCCAAAATCACCACCTTAAAGAGTTTTAAGTCATCTTCCAAATACCAGTGTTGGACACACAGACACAAGGAATACCAGGAGTTGCAATTATTTCTTATTTTGGCAATCATTAATTTTCTCACTGCTAGATAAAGACAGGACATTACTTGAATGCCTTTGTAATCATGTGTTTATTTTTAATTCTGTATAGGCCCAGTTGCTGGCTTTGGTAGTTATGTTTCCTTCCAAAGACAGTATCTTTTCCTCTGGCAATTGCCATGGGGAAAATGAAATCCAGAGTGCTCCACAGTGCCATGCTGCATCTGCCCTGCTCTGAGAAACCAGCCACAGAACTCCTCTAATTACTTCTCCTCCTGTTAGGAAACACCTCTCAGAAAAGAAACTCCTGAACTTGTACCTAAAGCTCTGGAAACTGTTTTTTTGCTGTGTGGCAATTCTTTAAATCATATATGACATTTCGCCTCAAACTGAGCTGGCTTCTAAAGATTTTTATTGTGGGCTGCACATGTGGTGTAGCCATTTAAAAGAAAATATTGGCTGCTCTAACTTGTATTTTGATTAAGAAAATGTATGTGCACAAGAACTACTCATTAGACAAACTATAATATAAAAATTTGTTTGAAAAATCTTTGACTCTATCCTTCTAATTGACAGTTACTCAAAGAGTTATAAATTAAGCAAAACTAGGGAATTAAAAAAAACTCCCTCACAAACTTTCCTATTTGCAAGCGTTTATCTGAATGTGTCAGGAGTTTTAACTTTAAATAGATAATTTTAGAGGTCTATGTTGTCCAGACAATAACAAAGGGAGTTAATCAAATATGAATCTTCTCCAACTGTCTTGTCAAACCAGGTAATGATGTCCTGCCAGCCAAACTCAGAGGGAACATGTGAAACAAATACAAAAGTAAACAGGCCCTAAGCTGCCCAAGGGAAAGTCAGCAAGATGGCAATTTCAATCATTTGGAATAATACTAAAGCAGCCTTAGGCTTTTCTCAGAATGGAAACATGTCACTGTTACTGCAATATTTGAACAAATCAGACTGCAAAAGAAAGGAACACTTATGTAATCACAGCCGTGGAACAGCACTTTGCTCGATGGTGAGGTGGAAAATAATTAAGGGAAAATGGGTGAGTAATTATAAATCTACCTAAATAAGAAAGATAAACAATGTTTCCTTAGAAATTTGGAGCAGCGAAAAAAACAAATTTAAGCAGAGATTGCTTAAGTCTTGATGCTTTGGGACAACAAAGATAAAGCTCTGTCAAATAGAAGTATGAAGCTAATGGTCCTACAAAATTTCTCAAATGTTGATAAAAGTTACACTCAGAGCTACAAAGAAAGCAAAAAAGCACTTAAAGAACAACTCTGCTGAACGGCCGCGTTAAGACGAACGGGCTGTCATATCATTTAACTGAGAAATCAAAAAATATTTCAAATATTTGGGGAACTTACCTAATCAGTAAACGTTCAGTATGTGTCTAGTCATGTAGCCATCTTTTAGTCAATCATCAGAAAATCAAAGGCAAATTGGCATGACTCAACCCAAACTTTAATACCGCATGATTGTGTCGTGTAAGCTTGTTTTGTGCGAGGGCTGCTGTGGTTTTAGCAGAGAGATTAACGACCGGACCTAAGCTGGCCTCCAAACCTTGCCCTGCTGATGCCTCAAGCCCTTTGAAGTCTGACCATCATACCTGGCAAAACAACAGTGGGAACTAGGCTGGTGTCAGATCTAATCAAGTTTCCTGCCTCAGCATAGCTAACTATGGGGTACACTAATTGGCCCAATTGCGGATTATACCTTTTGCTACAGATTCGAGACAATAATTTAGTCAAATGATGGTTTTTATCTCCTTCTAATTAAGATTCCAAAGTGGGAAGAAATAGGATTAGACAGGCTAACTTCAAAATTGTGTCCTTTAAAGTGGCATGCACATAAGATAGATCTCTGATTATACTGCATATAGGAGAATATTGGTAGTAACTAACGTGTGAAGATTTGGGAAAGCTTGAAATAGCTACTGCAGCTTTTAGATAAGCATGGAAGTTTTCCTGGAAAGGTTCCTCTTCATAATTTATAAATGGACAATGAGCACTCATAAATATTCATTTAAAAAACATTTTCATCCTGAATTAAAAAAAAAAAAATCTCTTTAGAAAACATTTCAGTCGATCTCATTTTGATGAAGAAGACACGAGGAAAACTGGAACAGTTAAAAGATTCCTTAAAAGGCTATAAAGAGGCGGAGTTCCTCCCACAAAACTGCAATCTAATAAAATAGATTTGACATTCAAGGCTTTTCACCTATGAGGGCCAAACTATAAGGAATTATTTAACTGGTGAGCAATCCAGAGATGAGAAAATCCATGTCCCATGCTCTTATTTTAAACTCTAAACAAAAGAATGGACTAGTGAGAAAAACTCTTTTTAAAGAAATTTCACCATAATTCGCAGGTTCTGTGTTTCTAACTTCTCTTATGCAATTTGATTTTAAAGCAGCATTTCAAGTAGAGGTCAATATTTTTATCCTAAATTGTGTATATAAGTACGTAGAATCTTGCCAAAAACTGTAAGGTACTCAATATGCATTTTCATTTCATATTTAAATCACACACTGAAGAAGCCCTAAACTCAGTTGCACTCTGTATAAGGCACACACAGTGCTTGCAATGCACACTGTTGTGCTGCTTTTTGCTTCTGCCCCCAGAACCAGCGCTGACTGACTGCTGACACATCACATTCTAACTGCAGAAACCCATTTCAGAAGACCTTATTCACATCCTTTCCTCATTCAGTTTTCCCTTGCTCCCAATTTTTTATTGCTCCAGCCAGCCTCGCTGTAGTCTGCTTTCCCTAACAGTATGAGGAAGAAAAACATATGTATTATAGATTAGTGAGACGTGTACTGGAAGATCACAGTAGGACAGTGATCTAACATGTTCAAAAAGGAATAGTTTGTGTCAGTTCAGCTTACAGAAAGCATATCTCTAACAAAACCTGAAGTTATTCAAAAGGGGCTGCTGCTGAGCAGCAAAGGGAGAAATTATACAATAGGTCATCTACGCATGTCTGGGGCAACAGGTTGTTTCAAGAGTGGTACTTCACTCCTGTTTCCAATGTCCCATGGCTAATTCAATTCTTTTTACAGAGCCTCCTGCTAAGGGTTTTCTTTCCTTCCAAATTACATTACAGATTAGAATCTCAAATTCGTCTGGAAGAAAAAACTGTATTCTGATGCAGCACTCAGGGATGAGAAACCACCCAAATACCCTAATTCACAGCTATAATAAATGAGAATGTACTATGCTGTGAAATGAGAGAGCATGCTTCTCTACGCCTCTGAAAACAGAGAGAACATTTGTATTTCAAAACCAAACACAGACTATCAAGGTTTTGTTTCTACTGTACCTCTCAAAAGCAGTTGTTCAAATGCTTTAATACCTCACAATGCCTGGTTTCACTCACTGCATTCTCTGGAAAGTGACAAACCTTCTAAAGGAATTGTCCTGGGGAAGAAAGCCCTCCTCCATGTATTTGCCTTTAAGTGGCTTCTGAAGAGGATACCTCTAGTTGAGAAACTTCTAGCACTCACGCAGAGATGACCTGCATGAAGAACTGGCTGCCTGATTAACTATTAACTACTCTCAATAGGATTAGATAATTAAAGACATTGATGACCATTAATTAGGAGGAGGGCACCTTAATTTGTCACTTGATAGGGCCTTTTCAATGATTTATAGGTTAGGGCTACTTGCAATTGTGAAGGGGAGGGGGCAGTGAAGAGAGAGAACCCTTAAGTTACCTTATCAAGTGGCCAGCTAAAAAGGGCAGAGGGTCAAATAAGGGCCAAAGTGGTCACTTAAGGGTGAAGTCCCAAACACCAAAGCAGTGCCAAGCCACATTGACCAGCATTTGGTGATGGAGTAAAAAATATGCTAATTTATTGGTGGCAATTCTCTCTTTTTATGGTTTCAAGCAGTTAAGACAAGTGGCCTGCTTAAGAGCTTTTCATTTGAAAAGAGATTAAACAAAATGGTTTGTCAGGGATGCTTGGCTGTTTTATGTCTTTGTTAAAAAAAAAAAAAAATTGCTCAGACTGTACCGATGACTATTGCATCACCCTGAAAGCCATCTTCCATCTCTAAGCATTACTTGGTTAATAAATACATCAGCTCTAATTGCTTAATAGTGCTATGTTCATTTGCTCTTTAGCAAGATTAAAATGAAATACATCTTTTGTATTACTGCCTTCTATCAGGACTGTCTGCATAAAGGTCACAGAAAAAAGTTTAAATTTAGTAGGAAATTTACTTAAGGACATTAGTGTAAATGATACTGTGTTTAAAATGACATAAAAGAGCAAAAGGTGATTTCAGTAATGCAAAGAAAATGGTTTCTGAATACTGATAAGGACACTTATCCCCCATACCACACACAATTTTAGGCAACATTATACATTAAAATCCCTCTACTGGGGTAATAACATGTAGCTACTTTCCCACCCACTAACACAAGTAAGAGCAAGTCATTAACATTTAATTAAATATGCTCCTGACATCCTTAGAAACATGTCATGCTTTGTTATTGAAGGTTGTGGCCTACTTTCTATGTACATTTTAAACCAAAATAAAGTATTTATAGCAGACCGATTTAGTGCAGCAAATGAGACATTTTTAATTAGAAGGCATATTACAGTATTTTATAAACCCGTTCCGAACAGCAAAGCCAGGACAAAATGAATTTACATCCTCTGATGCATATTTTATGTATTTCGACAAAACGAAACATAAGAGATGGGATTAGCTCCACCTTTTGGGTTCTAAATAGTGAAACAACGTTTCTCTTACCTCGATGGTGAACTGCTTCCTTTTTAATCTAAAAGCAAGGTCCTTCGTGTCTGACACATCACAGATCAAGCTATTAAGCCGAGGAATCTGATGTACGTGAACCAAACCTTGTGGAAAGGAAGAGTAAAGGGAGGGGGGAAAGAAATTAAGAAAATGCTGTCATCCAGATGCATAAATTAGAGTCTTACAGCAGAATTCTGTATATTTACACACAGTCATCCTCCCCTTTTTAAACTGGAGCTTACTACCAGGAGCAATGAAGCAAACGGTGCGATTATGCTCAAGTAATCAAGCAGAATAAGATAAACAGAAATCCTTGTGCGAGGAAAACTAATTGCACTTTGGTACAGGAGTACAGATGTAAAGAGCCATCTTAATACTTGTCAAAACTACAGCCGGTTTGTGTGTGATTTTCTCTTGTATTTACAGTAAGCAAATATGGCTATCACCTTGCACGCTGCCCACGGCACCACGGAGTGATCTTTATTTTATTAAATGCACCAGTAAGCAGCCAGCAAAACAAGGCTTATGGGTTACTGATAACCACTGAAGCTCTAATGAGAACTCCTTCCTTCCGTGCCCTGAAAACCACTTGAAAAAAAAGTTTCTGGGGAATCCCGGTTTAGGTGACGCTTTTTAATAATTTTTAACCCCCATGCCACCCCAGAAGAAATCAGTTTTCCTCCTGCAGGAGGCTTCTGTAGCTGTTCAGATGTTTTTAACAGTACTAGGTGCACTGCAAGCTCTGCGTTCTGTCAGCTGCAGCTCAAGCTGATTTTTTCTGACAAGGACGCTGGATGGTTTTTGTGCAGCCTAATATAGTCTCTGAACAACCTAAGGGTGATTTTCTACATCTGAAAACCAGGAAAATTCTACAGGGCTTCTCAATTACTGGCCTATATTTGCTATTCATAAAGCCAGCACTTAAATGGAAATACTGCACATTCAGAGAAGGTATCTGACTTCAAAACGGCAGCAGTGAGAAAATCCCCAAACATTAAACCCTTTATTTAAAATAAGGCAAGTACTTTTTCAGGCATTTATTTATTTCTTTTAAAGGAAGTTTCCTAAAATTCAAATACTTTAGAAAGCATAATTTTTATGGGCACTAATTACTAAAATTCTCAATAATATTAGAAAAGTATTATTACAGTTTTAAACCTTCAATCCTTGCCTCCTGTCCAGTGAACTAGAAGAACTATTTGTTATGTTTTTGAGTACAAAATCAAATTATTACATATAGGAACAGTAGGTATAACACAGGGTTGCTTATATACAGTATCCCAAAAATTTTTATTTAGGGGTCATCTATAGAATTCTTTTGTTATTTTGTGGCTTTTCAAACATTTAAATTTGCAGGCAGCTTTATAAAATTATTAAGGAGGATTCATTAAATAATGCAATAATGTAATCAAATTTCTCCAGAGTAATGTCAAAGTCTTTCATCATCTGCAGTAAATAAATAACTTAAAATACTTTCTTAGGCAAAAAGAATCCACAAAGTTAAAACCATTAAAAATACCTCTTTTCAGACTGTCAAATTAAGGCTGTGCAAATCTAAAAAGCTATGTATATTGGCACATAATTTTTATTAAATAGCACCAGAAATGACTTAGCATACATTTTTAGAGGAAACCAGGAAATAACTACTAAAACACACATTGTCTTAAAGGATCTCTTCAGTAATGAAAAAAGGAGTATTAAATTGACAGAATTATGTTAGCATAAACAAAGGCCATATCATGATTATACAGTTGGAAAAATAATTAGGCAAATTATTCCAGCTTTTGTTCAGGGTTTCTTTTTCATTAACCTTTTTTTTCAGATAATGAAATGTGCACTACTTTCACAGTCAGAAAGATTTTTCTCTGATTTATTAATTACAGCTTGCATACACACAGTGGTGTCTCAACACCATCTTTGCTTTTTTTCTGTATACTCCATGCATTCTGCTAGGGAAAACATTGCCACTGTCATGTGTTTACAGCAGATTTCAGATAAGCAGTTTACTTTCAGCTAAAGGTTACCATGGAACTACAGGAATATCACAATAATTAGCACTATAATTTATGCACAGTCTGAGCCCTGCTCTGGATCAGCTAAAATTGTTATTCACTGCTTTGGCTGGTCACAACTTCTAATATAATTTTTAAAATTTAAATAGTTCTGCTGCAACAGCTGACAAAAATCTTGGGAGACAAAAATGCAAAATTAAGCACGATTACCCATTTTGAAGATACAACACTTGGAAGGCTTTTTTGAGTGCTTATCAAAAATGACTTTTTACCAAAATCAGTTTCATATTTTATATGCCACACACACCCACATTCATTTCCTTAAATGTGCAAGTGCTGTAACCTACAGCTGACAAAACAGAGCATTATTTTTTAGACAGTCTACCCAGCACATAATTCAGCAGCTTATTCACCTCACTACAATATATGTTTTCCCGTGTTCTCAATTTAAAACTTGGCATATCAGAAAGTATTGATTTCATGACAAGTTCAGCTCGCTGGTCAGATGATTGCCAAGCCTGCCCTGCATGTGAATTCCCCAAAGCCTGCCTGGTGAGATGTACATCTGATTGAGCCCTGCCCCAGTAATGCAGCTTGACAACATGCAAGGAGTTGCCATGTTTCCTTTGCAGCCTTAATGCACTTTGCTGAAAATTTCCCTAACTCAAGGCTGCTTAGGCAAGGGAAAGCATTTAAGAGGTATAATTCCAAAATGAAATCAAACGCTGCTTTAGAGCAGATACCCAACTGGAGGGTGAGCTGCTACGTGCCCTAGAAACACCCAGGGCAGACTTTTTGCTTGCTGAAGATGGAACTCACCGTGGTAATCCTTGTACAATGGATTAGTTTCTCTCTCAGAGCCAATAAATGATTCAAGACCAACCACCATATCTGACAAGTTTGTTACACGTTCCATAATTGCTTTATTCTGTAAGACATGGAAACAAAATACACATCCTATGTGATGAAAAAGGTAATTAGTGTTCATAGAGCAAGCCTTGGTCTTCTCAATGACAAACTGTGGGGGGAAAATAGGTCATCAATACTTGGAAATTATGTTAGAAGGCTTTTTTCTTAAAAAAAAAATAAAAAAGACTTCAAGTGTCTGTCTAAAGAAAACAAATATTTGACAAGGATAAACCACGAAAGGGCTCACTTAGCACTAAATTAACATTACCCTAAATCTTCACAACAAGCATTTGCTCACATCAGCAATATTTACAAGCCATGTGTTAAGCTTATCTCTCATTGATTTCTACTACAAGTCTGATGCCCAGTTTTTGTTTGGGTTCTGAAACCCTCGGTTTTTAATACACTTAGGCAAACCATCTCTAATATTTTGAGCAAGCAGAACCCACACAATTATTCATTTTGACTATCAGTGGAACATGGAAAACTCAATGCTAATTTCTTAGCATTTTTCCCTCTAAAAGTTTCTCTCTGCACAGCATATGACTCTAAAGCTTCAAAGAGCATTACCATTTCTCAATATACTTGTGATTTTTAAGTGCTGCCTTATGTCTTGTTCTACAATGTACCGTCACATGCCTTAAATAAGCTCTTTTCCACATGGTTTTCTTTACTCAATTTTATATATTAGAAAGTGACATTCAAAGGTCACAACAGAGATCTTCAGAGGCAAGTCAGAAAAAGTGTTCTTAAATGCTTTGATGATGTCGGTATTTAATGAAGAAAACAAAAAAGACACACATCTGTGGTAAAATCAAAATATTTCTTGAAGATAAGAAATAGTTACCTTAAAGGTACTTGGACAGCTAGTATAATACTCTTGTTCTTGGTGCTTGTAGGTGCTACATTTACCAAACCTTCAGGGGTATCAAGACCAATCACCTGAAACTACCCATTACAATTATAAGGAATTAGCTCTGCAGCTCCAGGTTATAGTTTTGTATTTTTTATTAATTTTAAAGTGTTTTGTACACTTTGCACTTCTTTCAAAAACTATATGACTGATGCTTATTCTGAAAGGTCAATTTAAATACTGGTAAACTATTCCATAATAGCAATTTATCAATTAGGAGTAGAGAGACTAAAACATCACCAGACATGTTAGTATAGTCCAGGCATTATACTGACGTTCAGGTTTATTAAAATGGTGATCAACATCCCAACAGCTTCCATGAACCCACATTTCAATAACCATTATTTTCTAGACACAGAGAAGCTTACAGAGCAGACACCAAAGGTGAAAATCTCCTGCTCCTGTCAAAGAATAAACTGAATTCTGTTTTCTGACCTCTACATGAAGTTATGGCCTGTCTGGAACAGCCCAATCTGCTCAGGTTACTAACCCTAAATCCACAGATCCCATGGTACCTCCACACCCCCTCCCTTCCCCACCTTCTGGGCCAGATGGCATCAAATCCTGGGGAGGGGTCTCTTTTCAAAGCCTCTTGTGCACAGGCCAAGAGCATCCATCCCCGTGGAATCAGGGAACTTCCATTTTACCCACAAATCTAACCATAGATAATGAAGTAAATAAAGTGGTGTTGTGCTGCAGAATTTCCTTTCTGAGGAATAACATAAGTGATGTGAGGTAAAAGGACACTGCCCACACACCAATCCCTACACTGTACCTGCCCCTGAAATTGTAAAGCTGGCTTGCAAATCATTTCCTCCTCTAGGAAGAGAGAGACAATATATTATATTTTAATGGAATCTTTTGGTCACATTATTCTACAAGGGCAATCACATAAAGATGGTATAAATCCAAATCTAAAGTAGTCAGTGACCTCTATAATCCCACAGACCAGAAATTGCCATATTTTGTCAGTTCTTCAGAAGGCTGCTGGATGCTATTTGTGTAAGTAAAAAACACAAAACCTTTATATAAATAAATAGACACTGATGATTCCTGGAAACAAAGCTAAACTCCTGATACAGAAAAAATATCCTATCCCTTTGAAAAAAAACATGTGCTGTCCTTTGGTGTCTTTCCTTGCCAGTTTTGATAACAACGGGTTACAAAAACTGTGGAAAGAAAGGTGCTCAACCATCAGCAACATATCCCCATCACATAAAGTCCTGCCAATCATAAGAATAGCAAGCTCCTATTTGGTTTTAATTCAAAATTAAGATTCAAGTGAGGGACAGCACCTCAATATGTGCCTGATATGTTGGGATTTAGCTCCTCCTCTGAAAGGGTTTGCTTTCTTAAATGGTGTTCTCTTTGCCCACGTTGATTTTGTTTTTGTTTTTGAAGTGTGTCAAAATATTCCCCTGGCTTAATGCAGTGTATCTCGGGAAATATTTTGCACAGTGAATGGCCACACCAAAGAGACATTTGCTTATGTGGCATTGTTGCCATAGATCTGTATCTATCACGTATTTTCTAGTTTGCAGTGTTCAGCACATTAATGCCCAATCAAAGCTGACGTCAGCACACAGATAGTTGTGATGTATGGCACACTGACATAAACACACAAATCATGTTGCCCCATCTGGGCTGGAAAATTTAACAGAGCTCCAGATCTTCCTCCAGCCCCATACAAATATACCTCCTGCTTCTGGCATAAACTTGGCAGCTCTGGAGGGGAGCCAGGACATGGTTAGGAGGGAAGCCAGGAATGGTGAGATTCAGGGAAAGAGTTTGTTGGCAGCTAGAAGAGGTATTGTTTTATATTACACTAAAAATGAAAAAAAAACTCCAAAAAACCCACCCAAAAACCAGCCTTGGAAAGTCTTCAGTCTTGCTAGATGTACCGCAGTTTTTCTAAATTAGTTAGTTCAGCCAAAATATAATTATTCTAACAACATGGTAGCAATCCTGTTGTGCTGGCAGGGCTGGGCATCCATTCTATATCTTACTTTGTGCTACTGTTTGAGACAGACATTTTCTTTTAAGTGCAAACTTGCAATATTTGGGTTCAACCAAAGTGTACTTTCAAAACATGTCAAGAAAATCCACGCAGCGAGCTGGCTGTGGAAATGGGAACTACACACGTGTTTAGGCAGCTTTGGGGAAGGGCAGCTATGGAAAAAGATTGCTTTGTCTTCCTAATTAATTTTCAGAAGGTACATAGCTTTGAGTAATTATTTGTGCATGTTTACAAATATTTATTTACAACAAAAGCTGTTTAAAAGGCATTGTGTTCCGTGTTTGAGTATAAAGCATGGGGCTCCACCAACAAAGTCATGCACAGCCTGTATGCTCAAACTTACCCACTGAAATTAATATTGTGTATTTCTACTGGATTGAGTTCTTAATGTAGCACAATTTTAGCATTACTACTATTAATCAAATCAATCTTGGTTCATCTGGATTCTGTATTAGGAAACAAATCTGTCTTTTCTCCTCTGCTCTAATTTCTTGTTCTCCTCTGATCTTCTGTCAAAATTTTTCTAACACCCAAAATCCATCCTCTCGTTTTGTCAATTGCTAAAAAATTAAAAATGTCACAAAATTTCTGTAATGAAAATATTTAAATTCTCAGTCCTTGCACTGCGTAAGGAAAGTCAGAGAATGGAAATTTTTCTTAGGATGGACTCAACTTTTCTACATGGTACATATAAAAAATCTCAAAATCTAAAAGGAAAATAAGACACTCATGTTAAAGATCTACAATGAGATACAATTGCCACCTATATAAATATTTGAATTACATGGACTTTTGGAATATATTTACATTTTTATTTGCATTAGTATAGTAACATAATTTTAATATGGACTTACTGCATTGAAAATAAGGTATTTTAAGAGCACATATCTTTTCAAAGAGACATTAGGCCTATATTTTGGCAGAGGGCTACTTCTGTATCTTTACATTCTGGTAATAAAATCCCATCACTGGTTTTATTTTAAATCATTTAATTAAGAATTAATACATTGAATCCTATTTCAATTTCATCACCTAAAACACTACTTACAAACATTCTTCTGTACTGGGACAAAACCCAGTTTAAGTATTTAGTATGGCAGCAAAGTATCCAAGGAGGAATTCAGATACTTCCCCCAAGTCCAGGTAAAATTGTAATTGGGGGCAACAATCTCTGTTGTTACCAACAGGTGAATCCAGAAATCCTGACACTTCATTTGAAAGAAGGTCTCAATAATAAACACCAAGCAAGTTCATGCCAAATAATATGAATCTTAATAAATTAAAGCAAATTTGGTGTGTTAATTCTCAAGAAAAGTTTAAATTTTTTTTTTTTTTTTAAATTCTGTTACATTCTGTCATAAAGCTGAAATAAGCATAGCACCATAATGGAGACAGCCACACTGAACTAAAATGAAACAGTGGTTGGATATCCAATAAATGAAATAATCCGTGATCTTTTTGAGATTATCACACAACGATGTGGCAATGACTTAGACAATACACAAATATTTACCACTTGTCATTACTACTTCATCTCCAAAGGATTTTACATTGGAAATATAAATTACTAAGAAACAAGGCTTAAATATTTTTTACCATTTTTTAATAATTACTGCTCAAGAAATTTAAGAATTACCCATATACTTTCTTTTGGTAAAAGAAGTTAGGTAACAACCCCTTATACTAGTTTTACAGAGAGATCCAGTTTGGGCACATCTTATTATTATTCACAAAAAATAATAGGGTAATAGTAAGATTCAATGTATTAATGTATTATTATTATTCACAAATCCCCAAAATAAATGCTTAACAACTGCTCTGCCAAAAAGATTTATTTGATAATTAATAAAGACTGTAAAGTGTAAAATTCTCTAAGTCTTCTAACTCCAAACTGATCAGCACTGTTTAGAGTGTTTGCACACAGCAAATCTGCTAATTGAATGTTGAATTTTGGATCTAAAATAAATGTACACTCAGGCCACGGGAATATAAGACAACCATTGACAAATTTTGGTGTGCAGAAATCTCTACCAATCTCACAAGAAAACTGAACACAAGTGCCATGTCTTTGCTGGAAGCTCAAGGAAGA